CTCTGGAGGCCAAGCCACGGCAGGGCTGCCAGCGGCCACCAGACGCCGGGCAAGGCCAGGCCGGCAGGTGCTTCCGGAGGCTCCCAGGAGGCACGGCTCTGCCGCACCTTGACCTTGGACGCCTGGCCTCAGACCGGAGATGCATTCCCGGCATCTGGGCCGCTGGTTTGGGGCCGTTTGCGACAGCAGGCCTGGGAGACAGCGGCGGCGTCAGACTCAGGGCTGAGGTGGCAGGCGGCGGAGGCACACAGGGCACATGCCCACCTGTACGGGAGGCGGGCACCCAGGGCCGCACCTGGAAGGTGGAGGCACAGTCGGTCGGGACATGGTGTGTGTCCCGGAGCTGGAGGTCTGGAGAGGCACCATTTGTGCACGAGCTCAGGTCTCCTGACGCCCCTGAAGAAAGAGCCCCCCACTCCTGCCCCACCACACACACCTGCTGTCACTGGGCAGTGCCACTCTGCACTGATGTGTCTCCAGGTCCTTTTTCATTTCACACTCACACTCACACACTCACACACACTCACACACACACTCACACACATATACACACTCACACACACTCACACATCACACTCACACACACACACTCATACTCACACACACTCACTCACACACACTCACACACACACATTCTCACACACACACACTCACACACATACTCACACACATACACACATTCTCACACACACACACATTCTCACACACGCACATTCACACACACGCACTCACACACACTCATACACACACTCATACTCACACATGCATACACACATACACATTCACACACACACGCACTCACACACACTCACACACACACACTCATACTCACACATGCACACGCACACCCCTTTGACAGCCATGCACCGGATACAGCTTTAATGTTCTACTCATATTCACTCATTTCACTCCCCCCCCAGTTCTACCCTCCACCTTCCTGTGAGGGGGCCCTGGGGGTGTAGAATAGGACACCCCCTCCGGCCTCTACAGCCACAACCCCATTCAGTCTGACATCCTAATGGATCACAGTGACGGTGTCACAGCCGCAGAGCAAGCTCATCATCGAGACGCACACCTGGGATGGGTGACGGCGCCGCGTTCGCCGCCAGGGAGACTGAGGCGGGGGGCCGGCAGGAGGCCTGGAGGTGGCAGGAGGCCTGGCAGGGTGGAGCGGCGGCGGAGGGAAAAAGGCCCAGAGCAGAAGCGCCCGAGAGGCACTGGGAGGAGGGGCTCTGGCTGCGGGAGGGGGTGGTTGTGAGAAGACGGGGCTGTGGGATCCATCTGGATGCTGGAGGTGGTAACTGGTGGTAGACAGAGAGGGACAGACTGGCCGAGATGCCCAGAGGGCACAGGGGCTGGGCTGCGCCCAGGGCGGCAGCTGCCTTGCTCTTCTGGCCGTTTCTTTAAAAGCCACACACCGAGAGCGAGATGGCAGCCGCTCTGGGCGCAGCCTCCACCGCGGGCCCCCCGCTGGGCCTGGCCTGCATGCCCCTCCCATCCCTCCATGCAACTCCGTGCTGGGGAAGAAACCAACCCGGGCCGTCGCCTGGTGCCACCCATCGGAAGGGTGTCCTGAGGACAGTGAGTGCCTGCAGCCACGGTCCTCCCGGTCCCAGCGGGGAAGACGGCTGATGGGGAGGTAGTGGGGTGCGTGGCCTCGGGGTGCCTCCCGGGCTCTGGCCCTCCGTGACCCCGCGCCCCGCCTGCCAGACCGGCCAGCCCTGACCTTGGCTCTTGTCGGCTTTAAATAGACGGAGCACCAGCCCGTGGCTGGGTGGGGTTTTTCACGATCAGGCCTCACCGGCTGCCCTGGCCAACGATCCTTTCATGGGCGTGTCCTGGGCTTTTTCTATCAGGCGGGCGGAGCAGCGAGGACACCACTCTCTCTCACTCGGGGAGGAAGACGGTTTGGGTTTGAAGTGTTTGGGGGAGCAGGTGGGGGGATAGGTGGCATGTTTTGTCTTCATTTCTTTTGGTTCCGTTTCATGCCACACGATTAAGGAGAAGGTCTGTTATGTGAGTGTTCCTAGGAGGCCTGACCATCACGCTTAGTTAAACCTTAGGGTCCGGGTGTGGGAAACAGAGAAAAAGAAGTAATAATAGTGAGTGCAGCACACTCAGTTTGGATGGTTTTACTCATAGTAACTGCTTTCCCCTCCCCCAGTTCCACCAGGTACCTGCGTACCCATCTTCCAGGTGGGGGCACTGAGGCCCCCAGTGTAAGTGACGTGTCCAGAGGGAAATGTACGCTATAGACTTGTTTCTGGAACCTACTGCATCTCCCCTGTCTGTCCGCTACGTTTCCGTAGCCTGAGGGTTGACTATAAGTGTTGTTTGGCCAATTCCATGGGTGCCCCTAACAACATCTAGCATTGAAACATAAGATTTAAGACCAACCAGCATTGAGTATTTCTGAAATACAGAGAATCTTTTAATTTAGCCTGTCCTCAGTGTTAGGGGTTCCATCTCTCCAAACCCTAGAGGTACAGGCAGCCCTAGAGTTGAAGGCGGATTGGGGGTCTTTTCCCCACGTTTGCCCTGAGTTTATAAAAAGGGGAGGCGGGGGTGGGGAAGGAGTGGGCAGCTGGCCACCCCATCCCACATCCCCTGGGGTCTCGACTGGAAAGAAAACAGACCCGATCTCTCTCCACCCTGTGTTGTTCATGGGGGACTGAGCGGAAGCGCTGCCTCTGTGAAGTGCTGCAGCGTTTGCGCTGTCACTGCTCAGTGCTCCATTGTTACCACAGGGAGCGCTCAGAGCTGAAGCAAAGCCCCACTCCAGGGCGGGGCGGGGGGAGAAAGCCACGGCGGCGCTGAAGCCCTGCACCTTGGGTTCGAGGGCGGGTACGTCCGCGGTCCGTCCCGCGGCAGGTGCGTGCCGGCCGCCGCTCATTCTCCTGCTCTCTGTCCACAGGGAAGAGCTTCACGCTGACGATCACCGTCTTCACCAACCCGCCGCAGGTCGCCACTTACCACCGCGCCATCAAGATCACCGTGGATGGGCCCCGGGAACCCCGAAGTAAGTGGGCCCCTCGGGGCTGGCGCACCTCCGGCGGGCACGCTCGGGCGCCAGGGACAGTGTCCTAGAGTCCTTGGGTCCCACTGGCGTCGCTCAGATGTGGCTACAGCCTCTGCCAGCGGGGATGCGTGCTGGGCCCCTGCAGGGGGAGGAATTGTACTCTGACGCTGCCTCTCTCCGGGGCAGCCTCTGCGCTCTGTCTGAAACGTCCTCAGAGGGCAGAGGGGGCGAGGCCGACTCACGCGCATGTCAGAACCATGTCGGGCTGCGGGAGAGGGAGCACGAGCCCCTCAATACATGGAGTCCAACAGGATCAGAGACAAACAGTGAACGGGCGTGGGCAGGCACAGGGGCGGCCGAGAAAAGGCCTGGGGTCAGAGTGGACCACAAGGGCCTGATCCCATCCGAGCTGGCTTTTTATTCGTTTGTGAAGGCTGGAGATAGAAACCACGAAAATGACCGTTTTCTTCGGGTGGTGCTGATGGAAATCTTATTACAGGATTGTTTAAAATAGAGAAAGGGAGGGTAGGAGGATGCTTGGGGGTTGGGGAGGGGGAAAACCGGTAAATATAGAAAGATGGCACCGAAAAAACAGCTCCTATGAGGAGAGCTTTTAAAGGGAGTGGGTTGTTTAGTCTGCAGAGGGATGTCTTGCTGGTGACTTAATGACTATCTTTGGGTAAACACGGGAGTAACACTCTTTTCCAAGCCGCACCCTTCCCGGGTAGAGGCCGGGCTCCCCGTCCAGATCTGTGGCGCTGCCTGGGGCCCCGCCCAGTCCGGGTGCCTCACAGTATCGGGGTCCCCGGCGGAAACTCATCTCTCTGCTCAGGGGGGACATTCAGCACCAGGGCTTCCTGCTGGTCCTGGAGGCTGAGCTGCAGGGAGGCTGGGCTCTGAGACGCAGAGATAAGGAACCTGAGCTCTGGGGGCAAACAGGGGGTCTGGTTCAGGCACTTACACCTCCAGCGGGTCACGGAGCCCCCCTGACCCTCGGGTTCCTCGTCTGCAGAACGGGGATTCTACGGAGCGCTTCTGTGTGAGATTGAACGGGGTCGTGAGCGCCGGCAGGGAAGGAACGGGGGTGGGGGGGCAGCGAGCCCTGGAGAGCCCCCCACCCGCCTGCATCTCCCTGGCGTCGCTCAGGCCGGGCCCTCTGAGGACTTCCACTGTGGGGGAGCCGTGAGGCCGCCCTGGGCGTGGCTCCCTGCGTGTCACCCTTGCTCAGAGCACCTGTGGCCGTCTGTCCCGTGGTCCTGGCCACAGCCTCCTGGCCGGCTGGTCCCCTCTTAGAACCATCCAGGGCCTGCCTCAGCTTCCCCGGTGCCCAGAGTGGGAAGAGCCCCTCAGAAAACGGCCCCCACCAGGAGGGCCCCTGGGACACGGTGTTCGTCCACGGCCCCCTCGGTTCCACGTGCCACCCTCCCGGGCTCCCTCCCATCTGAGCTTCTCTCTCCGGCAGCTTTCTCTGGCCCCGCCCAGACCCAGGAAACCTCGGCTTGGTGACATCCTATTCCAATTCCTGTGTGAAAAGCAGGGACCGCCAGTGACCACCCAACCCCGGGGCGCCCGGGGGCACGGGAGGGCTCCCAAGTGGGAATGGCGAAGCCAGGATGAGCAGTGACCTGCTTTACACAGAGCAGGACGGTGGCTCTCCCGGAGCAGAGAGGAGCCGGGCTACCTGACAGCAAGGCCGGGGGCAGAGGGCCCGGGGGCAGGTGGGCGGGGAGGACTGGACGCTGAGGCTGAGGCGCTCCTAGGGGGGCTCACTCGGGGGCTGTCGAGTCTCTATCTCTACGGACGGAAGCGAGCAGCCCAATGGCGGCCTGCCTGGAGGAGGGAGCTCACACCACGTGGCCCCTCGACAGACCCTGCCCTCTGCCCTCCTGCCCGTCACCAAGGGCGGGGTGACCCTCGCTAGTGTCTGCTGTCACCTCCAAGGCCCTGAGAGGTGGTTGGAGACGGACGGTGCGGGGCCTCCTCAGAGCCCGCCGCGGGGGAAGCGGGGGATGGTGGCCGGGGTCTGCCGTCCACTCGCCTGCCCTGGCCTCTCCTTCCAGGAGCGGCCAGTGTGGCCGAGGGCGGGGGCTGGCCGAAGGGGCCCCCGGAGAGGCGCCTGTGTGTGGAATCTTTCCTGGAAGTGAAAGTTCAATGAGCACGTATGTGCCGGACACAAAGAGGTGTTCTCGGTGCAGGGACACAGCCTCAGTTTCCCCAGCGGTTCTGGGAGAAGGCAGAGGCAGCCCGGGGGCGGACGCTGCTGTCCTCTCAGCTGTGAGCGGCCGTGGCTGCCCGTCGCGTGCGGTTTTCCTGCTGTGTCTGCCGCCTCGGGTCCGGTGGGAAGTTCTTCTTTTGATGAAGCTCTGCTCGCCGCTATTTTTTTTAAAAGAGAAAGTTAATAAGTTTTGCAGCTTTACTGGGATGTCAGCGACATGGGGTGTCAGTGTGAAGTCTCCTAAAGCATCCGCGTACACGTTTATGCTGTGACATGCTTATCACAGGAGGTCGGTCAGCACACCATCGCCTCGCACAGCTCAGTGAGTGTGTATGTGTGTGTGCATGTGTGGGCGTGTCCACGTGTGTGTGTGTGCGTGTGTGTGCATGTGTGTACAAGTGTGTGCATCCACGTGTGTGTGCGCATGTGTGGGTGTGTACACGTGTGCATGTGTGGGTGCATGTGTGTACGAGCATGTGTGCATCCACATGTGTATGTGTGTGTGCATGTGTGGGTTGTGTGCACGTGTGCATGTGTGTACGAGCGTGTGTGAATCCACGTGTGTGTGTGTGTGCGTGTGTGCGCGTGTGTGGTGAGAACTCTCAGAGCTACCCTTTGGCAGCTGTCACGTATACACTGAACACATGCCGATCACTAGAGTCACGTCCGTACATCACAGCCCAGGGCTTAGTCCTCTTCTAACCGGAAGTGTGTACCCTGTGACCAATTCCACTCATTTCCGCCCCTGCCCTCCCCTGGCAGCCACCAGTCTTCCCTGCCTCTGAGCTCCGTTCTTCAGGTTCCGCAGTGAGGCCACACGGCGCTTCTCTGCCTGCCTGACTCAACTCACTCAGCATAATGCCCTCGAGGGCCATCCGTGTCCTGGCAAATAGCAGGATTCCCTTCTTTCCCATGGCTGAGTAATACCCCACTGTGTGCGATACACACACTCACATACACTCGACACACACACATCCACACACACACACACACACTCACATACACACATGCACTCACACACACACGAACATACACTCACACATCCGTACACACTCACATACACACACTCACATACACACACTCACACACACACACTCACACAATCATACACTCACAAATACACACACACATGCACTCACACATTCATACACACACTCACACACACACATACACACACACTCATACACACCCTCACACATACACACACATACACACACACTCATACACACTCACACACACACGCACTCACACACACACATTCACACACATGGACTCACACACACAAACATACACTCACACACACACATTCACACACACACACAAACATACACTCACACACACACTCACACACACATACACATATACTCACATACCCATACACACTCACATACACACATTCACACACATACACTCACACACTCATACACACTCGCATACTCATACACTCACACACACAAACACACACACACACACACACTCATCACTGCCTTTTCTTCATCCACCCACCCATCCACCCATCCATCCATCGATTGGCACGCAGGTTGCTCTGTGTCTGGGACATTGTGGCTGATTCACAGTCACCTCGGATGTGGTGCTGAGCGGTCCCTGCATGTAGATCAGGAGGCCCAGACAACGTCACATCTATGATTACAAGACCCCCAATGTCCTTCTCATTATGGTGCTGGGGGTTCTGGGTAATTCTTGTAGAATGGCCTGGCATGGCCAAGTCAAATAGATTTTTGGTGTTATTTTTTTTTTAGTATTTTTTTATTGATTTCAGAGAGGAAGGGAGAGAGAGAGAGAGAGAGAGAGAGAGAGCGAGAGAGAGAGAAATATCAATTATGAGAGAGAATCATGGATCGGCTGCCTCCTGCACATCCCCACCACTGAGGATCGAGCCTGCAACCTGGGCATGTGCCCTGACCGGGAATTGAACTGTGACCTCCTGGTTCATAGGTCAACGGTCAACCACTGAGTCATCCCAGCCAGGCTTATGTCTTACATTTGTAGGACCTAATTAAAACCTCGGGCTTGGTCCACACATCTGTCATTCAGTCCGTGTGTCTGTCATGCAGTCGTGTTGATGGGCAGATGCTCCGCGAGAGGACTTGAATGTGCGCCTCAGCTCGGTGCTGGGCGGGAGGATGTTTTGCTGAGCAGAGGGTGAGGAGAGCGAGCCGTTGGCGCCTCTCTGACCCATGGCGGGGGGTGGGGGGCGTCCCCGTGCTGTGGGGCTTAGACGGTCATGCTGATGTCATGAGCCGTCACCTGTCTAGCCAGGAGTCTGTTACATCTGGAACACTGAGTAACCCAATTAAAAACGGAAAAGGTTAATAAAACAAACATTGGCCATTTCTGGGGTGACGTCTGCCCTGGGGTGGAAGGAGTCGGTCACAGCCACGGCGCTGGGAGCCCGGGGCCGGGTAACGGCTGGGGCTCTGGGATACGCTGTTTCCCGCGGCACTGGTGTTAGGCCAGCCAACGTTGTTTTTAAATGGGGAGTTACAGTCCAAATCATTCGACTGAAGGCCTGGTGCCCGTCACTCACTCACTTTGCGAAGGGCTGTGTTGAGATTCAGCAGCAGCGAAGGCCATTTTCTTCTATGCCTCTAAGTGCAAATAGCAAGCCCATCGTAGGTGCACGGAGGGGACACGAGACCTGTATAAGGTAGAGGGCAAGTTTGTCTCAGCTGAAGACAAGTATCCCAGTTATTTTCACCAAGTTATTTTCTCTTAATCATGAAAACTCCCGATAATAATGACAGCCCCCGTGCTGTTTGCCCCG